TTCATAAACACTGTGAAAACCATGCAGTGCTTTAATTTCTAGCGCATCACAAGTCTACAATCTGTAGCCATAATTTTAACTCTGGTGATTAAAAACTTTGTGACCTTTAATTTAATTGAAACATAACTATGTAAACAATTATTAAGTTTAGAGTGGTTCTAATTATTTCCGAAGTCAGAAAAACAAAGTAATTTCTAGAACTAAATTCTAGACCTTATACTACAGCCACCGACGACCCTGCACAGCAGAGCAAAAATGACCAGAAATGGCGAAGTATGAGTCTTTACACCACCAGTAAGGAAAACTGGAACAAAAAAGATCCAACCAAAGAGTTCACCTGCCGTGTCGGAGTCGGACCTAAACATATTTTTAAAACAGTGTTCAGTGCCCATGGTAATTCCATAGAATGTGACTGTAACTACTAAGCTTTAAATGTGATATTTTGTGCTTGTGTCATTCTTTGTCTGTGAGAGTTTTCTATATGAAAACCTGTGTACTTGTGATGTCAGTCACTGAGACAAAATGTTTGTTTTGTTTTCATCATGCCGTTGTTCAGCCTGTGTGAGTCACAGTGTCCAGTTGCTTTTATGTGTGCTGTCTGTTTGAAATAAACATTGCATGGAAACTCTGGTATATGTGTAGATGGAAAACTTGAAGCGTCACAAAAAAAAAAGAAAAATTGTTCCATTTTTCACTTTTCTATTAACACCATTAAAGAAGAGAAAAATCGTATTACTCCAATGAATAAATAGAGAACAGATGCACATAGCACTCCTCTAACCAAGTGTACTGTACCTTCCACTTTTTAGAATATCTTTGTGATCTGAGTTGGGACGATGTCACCGCTGAAGAGGATTTTAGCAGCCTGTGGTCCACAGCTTCCTCCTCCATATTCTTCATATTGTCTCTCTTCTATAGCATAATCATCAGTCTTCTTAAGGTAAACATGCAATTTACATTATCTGCATTTCAGTTTTATTGAAGAATGAAGTCTGTGAGTTGTAATGCAGTACACTCAAAACAGCACTCATAGATCCATTAAAAAAAAAATTAGGAACAAGGAATTGTAATGTTCTGTTTGCACTTTTTAAAAGCACACCTTTATCATGAAAATTATATCATTTGATTTTTAAAGGAGGAAAAAAAAATGAGTGAAATTTAGAAATGTTTAGGCTTTAATTTATTCCAAAACTGTCTCATGGAATAAGTAACATTAAGATGTATACTTAGAGTACATTAGGGTTTACTAGTAATAGTAATTAAATGACTGTTCTTAACAGATTTGTTTTAACCTTCTGATGTTTTTTTGTTTTGGTTTTTTTTTGCAGATACAGAGATGATAACAAATGGGATGGAATGGGTGTGCTTCATTTCTAATCTGCTTTTAAAATAGATTTTTCATTTTATTTTT